TCAAATACTTTAGTTTTTTTTTTTAAAGAAATTGCTTTCAAAACGTGAAATCTCTTGCCAAGGCTGCATTTATTTGATCCAATATACAGAAAAAAAGTAATATATATTTTTACAATTTAAATAACTGTTTTATATTTGAATATATTTTAAAATAGAATTTATTCCTGTGATGGCAAAGCTGAATTTTTCAGAAGCCATTACTCCAGTATTCAGTGTCACATGATCCTTCAGAAATCATTCTAATATGCTGATTTGGTGCTAATTTACTTTAACTTTTGATCAATTTAATAATATTAAATATCAATTAAATAAAAATACTAATTTCTTCTGTTAACCCCCCAACACCAACACACAAACGTTTGAACAGTATTGTATTTAGCCTTAGTCATTAACTTTAGCTGTTAGCCGCTGCAGTAGATCACTAGAGCTACCTCATTTTTCATGAATTTTATTTGCAGTATTTAAGAACATTCAGTGGGTGTGTCATCTTGGTTTTTCAATCCATTTATAAGGGCCATTATGGCATTTATTATGACTTATAATAATGACTCACATAGCTTTTAGGTTCAGGAGTTACAGGGCACCATTTCAGGAATCCACTTACATTTTATAGTCCACTGGTTTGGTCAAATAGAGGCAGGTCTGGGTTAGAAATGTTTGTAATGATGGTTAGAGCTGCTCTTGGTGACATAGCCTAGTAGTGAGGTCAGTCTGTACCTTTAAACATCAGCAGTGGGTTAAATTAGCGCTATAGCAGCTAGAGCTAACTTAGCAGCTAACTTACTGTAGCGCTGCTGCTGCCTTTTCTGTTTGTCTGAGGTATTTTCAATGTCCTGCTGCAGTGCATGTGGCTGCGACTTGCGCTTTTGCCATCGTTATTTTGTCTGGAGCTTCTATTATGCACACAACACAAGCAAGATCATTGGCTAATATGTGCACGTGAACCATAACATGACAAACACGCACACAGTTTTGACCACGTGCACACTTGTGTCGCAGTCTCAGATGCATGTGTATGTACAAACACATCTGGACCAGAATCATAAACAGACAAGCTTTTTTTTTTGTCACAGCTGAGCCCGCTCAGACAGAGAGACTTTCCTGACCCTGTGAGCCATTAGAGGACACTGTCTTCTCATACAAAGAGAAACAACACAATTGCACATAAGGATGATGTAAGACTAATCATTTACAGTTTGCTGTGTTTAACAGTTAGTGCAACACTGTGCTGCCAAACGGTTTTTGTTTGCCAAAAGGAATGCAGGTTTTGAGGGAATGTGTTTTGATAACCAACGACATTTTAAATCTTGACATTTTGTGTCCTGGCATTCTGAATGAACACATGTAAAAATCCGAGCAGCAATATGGAACAATAAAACCTAATTTGGGGAACTTTAGTGCTTAACTAAGACTGACTTATCAAAATGATATTATGCATGAGAATTTGAATGGATTCTGTGGTAATCTGTTAACAAAACAATTCACATTTTTGCTTTTTTAAATATGCTGTTTTGCAGTATCTTGTATGGGGGATCCATTAACATAAGATGGTAGAAAAAGTGCTTCTTAAATAGCCATTAATTTCAACTGCTGAGCAAGCACATATCTGATGTGATAATGCACTCTACTGTACCTAATATGGAGGTTGAGTGCACACTACAAACAACTGTGATTCACAGACACAATACTTTACAGTTTCACATTAATATACAAACACCCACACAGACACACAATAAGAAGCTTGATCATTCAGCTAGCATGTATGTACACACACACGTTTCACCAAAAAAAACTCTCTCTCTCTCTCTCTCATCTATCATTTTTTATTTTTATATATATTTTTTATTTAATTCAGTTCAGTCATTTTAGTACTTCAACTCAAACTTATTTCAGTAAATTGCCAAAACTTCAAAAAATTTTTTTTTACATTTTCATGTAACATTTACATTTTATATACCGTTTTAGTTTTACTTTTAGTGAACAATAACAATGCCACAACCTAGTGTAAAAAGACAATAAATTATGATTGTCCGTATGAAGACCCTAGTAAAAAAGTAATTTAAAAAACATTTATTTTATACTAAATATAGTTCAAATCTATTAACATATCGCTCGAGACTTACTGATATAAAATTTATAATTAACCTTTATTTAGAGTACTACTTGTGCACAATGCACATTTTTAAATATTAAACCTAAAATGTGTTTTATTGTCACTATTGATGAGTATCGTATGATCTTTGAATAATATCGGTCTTCAAATGCAAGATATTTAAAGTCTACCTAAAGTGTACTTGCAATAGTTTAGTTGGACTTCAGTACTACTTCTGCACAAGTAAAGTGCACTAACCATTCTTTTAGCACATGGCATTCTTTTCTGTCTATATTAGAACTGTATATAAATTAGAACATTAACACATTGTTCATACAGTCTGCTGATCATTATCAAAAAACAGAAACAAGGTTGTCAGGAGGGTTGTCTTATGTTATCCTGAAGGGATTGATTTTTGCCAGATGAAGTAGGGTACTAAATAAAATAAAAACTAAATAAATAAAATGGATATTGAACATTTAAATTGCAATAGTTGTAGAGGCATTACAGATAGATATGACATTATATAACACAGCTAGAGAAGGGAAGTCAGGTACACCGCAAACAAAGAAAACAAGATGTTTATGTGCATTTTTTTCGATCATGGCAGCAGTACATTATTAAATTATAACCAAAATGCATTTTAACTGTGCATATATCCAGACTCAGACGCAGTCCCCTTAATATAAGGTTGTGATATGCCTGCAGCATGAGGAATTTCATTCTTCAATTCTTAGCAAATTCCCTCTGAGAAAAGACAAAGAGATGGTCCTGTTATTCGCAAACAAGTTGTATTAGCCCATTTGTAGGGTACTAAATAAAATAAAAACTAAATAAATAAAATGGATATTGAACATTTAAATTGCAATAGTTGTAGAGGCATTACAGATAGATATGACATTATATAACACAGCTAGAGAAGGGAAGTCAGGTACACCGCAAACAAAGAAAACAAGATGTTTATGTGCATTTTTTTCGATCATGGCAGCAGTACATTATTAAATTATAACCAAAATGCATTTTAACTGTGCATATATCCAGACTCAGACGCAGTCCCCTTAATATAAGGTTGTGATATGCCTGCAGCATGAGGAATTTCATTCTTCAATTCTTAGCAAATTCCCTCTGAGAAAAGACAAAGAGATGGTCCTGTTATTCGCAAACAAGCGATTGCAAAAAAAATAAACCCGGGACTAAAAGAAGACTAGACTGTGTACAAGCACAAACAGACTATGATGATAATAAAAACAGGGGCCAAGCATTTGAAAAAAAAGGGCCCAGAAGCACCAAGAAGGAAAATAAGGAAAAGCAATACAATTGTCTCGTGATCTCTGTAAGCCTTTCTATCTCCTATTATTGTTGTCATCTCCTTCCATTTTCTTTTCAGACTTGCACACACAAACCAAACACATCAATGAGGAAAATACCTCTGAGTTCACACTTATCCCCCCGCTACCCTTGCTGCAGACAAAGCCCGTCGTAACCATGGCGATGGACAGTAAGGAGGCTAAGCTTGACGCGCAGGTCGAGGTAACAGTATCTGAGGGCCCAGGTAAACAAAAAACTGAGTGAGGATCTTTGCAAACGGCCTGCTCTTTAAGTGACAGTGACTAAATGCCTCAAAACATTAGTGCTGTCTCTTTAAGAACTGTGTGGTGTGGGCACAAAAACAAAAGAATTGTGTGCTGTGTCTGCGTGCATGAGCCTGTGTGTCTTTAAAGGAAAGTTCACTCAAAAATAACAAGACTCTCAGTATTTACTCACCCACATTTCTTTAAAAACCTATATGACTTTTTTTCTTCTGTGGAACACAAAAGGAAAAGAGGATAAAAGAAAAGAGGATGGGAAGACAGGAGATTTCAAGCTTCAAAAAGGATGCAAAACCACCACCAAAGTGGTTCATTTGACTTGTGCGAGATATTTCAAAACTTGAGCTAGATTTGGATTTGCATTTTAGATTTGGAGTTTTCAAGACATTGCTAATTTCACTTACATTTTTCATCTTAAACTTTGATCTGTTGGCTTCAGAAGTCACATGAACCACTTTTATGGTGCTTTTGTTCACTTTTTGTCCCCGGTACTTATTCACTACAATTGCATGCAGCAGAGTAACCATCACATTCTCCAAAATTTCTCCTTTTTGTTCCTGGGAACAATGAGAGTCATACAGATTTGAAACGACATGAGCGTGAGTAAATGGTTTTCATTTCTGTGTGAATTATTCCTTTAAATATGACTTAATCACGTGTTGTTGTTGTCCAGGGTTTACACACCTTTTCGAGTGAACCTTGTGCCCTCAAACTTTATAACCTCATCTAACTTATTAACATAAATATATCTCATGTGTGACTTATTTCATGCTTCCTCAGTACAGCTGAAGTTTGGCATGCTTTAGTTTGAGCTTGTTTCTTTATGTTGTTACAGATGTAGACCCGTGTGTTAGGCAATCAAGTGCACTGTTGACAAAAGGAACAGGGCCAATTATGTTGTTGTGATAAATATATCAATTAATCATGTACTAATACTGAAATTTGGAGTGTGAGGGAAACAGTCAGGTTCAGGTGGGAGAGAAAAACAAGTTACTGGCTTTGCTGCGCTAGTGAGAAACATTGTACGACAAGAGTGCGAGGAGCAAGGTTGAGTATTCTTATGTTGTCAAGTGGGACAGATGTGTGTTTTAGCTTTTGTGAAGAAGTGAGGGGAACAGTCAGGTCCGAGTTAATTTATTTAGCACTACTGACACTCATAGGAGCAGGTAGGCTGTGTTTGAGTGTATAGTGGTTGTAGTATGGAGGAGTACAAGGGAGACACACTGAGGGCTGTTTCTCTGGCTGAGTGGTGTCCACTCACATCATATGCCTCAGTGATTGAGGATGCCTGCAGCACTGCATTGTGGGCCAGAGAAATGGAGTAGTAGCGGCTGGGAACAGACTGTGACTTGGACGTGGCTTTGAGAGGGAAATGACGAGACAAAATATGAGAAATCATAAAATCATCCAGTCATATGCGCTCGTAAAGCAGTAAACTCTGGAACAGTAATAACTTCAGGAACTCGCATCAGAACAACAACAGAAGCGGTGACTGATGCCAGGTACCAAATGTCTTAATTTCTTTGTTACTGTGTTTTGAGCAGCAACACTTACTTAATGTGTAACTCCACACTACTTTCCACTTTTAGCCTGTAACAGATCTACGCTGATCTCTTGCTGTTAGAATTTATCTACTCTGTGGTGTAGAGTGGCCCTGTCACCCCAGCCATTTCACTTGGAGCTCCTACAACACAGAGAATCAGACACACAGTCTTGAGCCTTCATACACACAAACATCTATAAAAACAGAAAATACAGTCTGGAGATGTTTTGCTCTTGGCTGGCGGCGTGCTTATGGTGTACTTATAATACCTTCAGAAGGACCAAAAAGGAACCTGCAGGCTTTGATAGAAAATATTCACACATACGCATATTATAATGTTACAGAAGATAACATTATAAGTAGCACAACTGTTTTCACCATTAATAAGAAGAATTGTTCCTTAAGAACCAAATTAGGATATTAGAATGATTTCTGAATAATCATGTGAAAATTCAGCTTTGTCATCAGAATAAATTGTATTTTAGATAAACAGAAAATAGTTATTTTAAATTGCAATAATGTATCACAATATTGCTGTTTTTAATGAATCTTTGATTAAATAACCACAGTCTTGGTGAGACTTCTTTCAAAAACATTTAAAAAATCTTACAGGCCACAAACTATTGGTCAGTAGTGTATATAGCTAATATTTTATTTGACATGTTTTATATGTAAATTTTATTCGTAAATATGTGTTTTTGAGCTACTCTTATCTCCGTAGATTTTATGATTCCTAATAACTTTCTAGTCTCAGGAAGTGGAGCCTCTCCACAGCACTCTTTACAAACCAAAGGTCCCTTGCCTTATCATTGGTTTAATGCCGTTACATGGGAACCACATGATTCAGTCATGCCAGAGACACTTTGCAACTGCAGATTTCCACTTTAATTGGTAGGTTGAGAATTATTCTATAAATGTTTTCTTTACGATTGTTTTGTGTTATTTTTTACAGATTAGGAATTAGTTGTTTAAAAGTTGGTGTTTGATTGTTGGTCATGAAGCTCAGATTATATCCATTGTGTGCATGTTATCAGAAGTAACCGATGGGAAAGAAAGTAGCTTATTTAGCATTAAGTAAAACCTTCAACCCAGTAGAGGTTAAATTATGTGTATACCACCTTTCACAATACATATCAATCCAAGCATTTTTAAAAAACCTCCAGATTTTAGAGTAGATTTAGAGGAACCTACAACATCCCCCCCGTGATACTGCCCTTGAAAAATCTGCACAATATACAAGATGCTCAGTTGTTTATTCATGTAGACTGAAGTATTATTTGAGTCGTCTATTTGGGTACTTTAAAACGTTTTGTGGTTGCTGCATCTATTGTGTCTCATCCATGATTGCTCAGGTGGATTACAGGGCTCACACTGATTTAAAAATGTGTGAGAGGAGTAAGTTTATGTACAGTATGTAGCTTGAACAACCAGATGCATTTAAATTTGTTCAAGTCATATCTTGTAAGCATCTGAGTGGCTGGATTGCTATCTTCTTTTCATAATTGTAAATACATGGTGTAAATACCCCCAAAGTGTTTTCAGTAAAGCATGTAAAACTCCTCTCTTCTCAAAACAGTGTAACAACTCTATATTACTGACAACAGCTTTATATAAAATTGCTTCTTTAGCAGATGGCTTCTAATTTTTGGCTTTTTCTTTTTTCTGTGATGCTTTTTCAAGATCATATGGCTTTATAGGACCTCGACATTACCGGATGTTTAAACAGGACATCTGGTCACCATAATTATAAAAGCCTGTCTTAGGACAAGGTCTTACCTCCAGTATAACCTGATTCCATAGCCTCTGATCTATATCTGGTCCTCCATTTCACGGACATCAAATAAATGCTACTTACTGACTATTTATCACCTTTCTTTGCCCCTACCGACCCCATTTTTACCAGAGCGGCGACGGCAGGGCAAATTCCAGCCATTCCGGCGTCTATTTGGGAAGAAGAAAAGGAGGGTAGCAGAACGTGGGTTTGAGGGATCTGAACTTAAACCTAGCCATTCCACTGATGATGTTTGCAATGGGGTGGTCTCAGTTAAGGAGGAAAATGATGAGTGTCTAAGGTAAAACTTTATAATCATTTTAGCTCGGTCTGCCTTTTGTAATGTATTCAAAATATATTGCTTTTATTGTAGATGCTGAGTTTATTTGTTGAATTGCGTACTGAAAACATTAATAGAAATGTTTTAATTAAACAGTGTGTTAACGTCTACGTTCACAGGGAGTTAAACACCCTAGGGTCCAGAGCTTTTTCACACGAGAGTGTATTTATCCCAGAGGACTCAGAGAAGACATATCCAGGACAGACAATGTCCCAGGAGAACGTTTCAGACAAAGTTAGGAACATTCAGGTGAGACTTTCCACACAAACTGTATAATTAAAAATGTTCATATGCACACAATTAAGTCTTGCACCAAACTTCACTATCACAATTTTCATATAAGCATTGCACCAAATTTATACAATTTATTTTAGACTGTTTTATGTTAGTATTTTTGGGACTTAATGTTGGCTAATTCCTTCCTTTTCTCTAATTTGACTAACAAGGCAGCAAAACAAACTAACAAACAGAAAAAAAAGATTTTTTTTACTCTCTATGCTTTTGTTGACAGAGGCAAATTGGACATAATATCAAATTTGGTCAGAGACCTCCTTCACTTAGAAAGAGTGAGGGAGATGAAGGTAGCTCCGATGAAGAAGAGGTACCACGAAGTCCACTGAAGGTTCTTGCTCAGGTGGAGAATGAGCCACCAGAGACCGAAGCCAAGGAAAAAGTAAGTTAATCTCCAAATTATTATCCACTACTTACATAAATGCTGTGTCAGTCAAAGTTTGACAATTTATATGGACTGTTAAAAATAACTGCTCTGTTTTAGAGAGTAATGTTATAAGACAGATTACCTCACTTGCAAAAATGTACATTTATGCATTTGGCAGGCACTTTTATTGAAAGCAACTTTTAGTGCATTCAAGATATACATTTTGTCAGTAACCTTGTTGCTAATGGCGTACTCTAGATAAGCTGTAGGAAAGTGTCAGACTGTGAAAACACTGATTCCCCATAAATATAACATGCTTCCTGCTCTGCATAGTCACAGACTTGTTTGTGTTATTGCTTTACAATCAGGCTGTCAGCCATGACACGGTCCAGCATAGAACTCCAGTCAAATCCCCACGCACCAAGCGCCCACCTCCCCCTGGCACAATTGAGTCCATCAGTCTCGATGCTGTACCTCAGTCTGTCCCACGCTTGGACAACACTGCTGCCAAACATAAACTGTCTGTCAAACCGAAGAACCAGAGGGTGTCACGCAAACACCGAAGATTCACACAGGTAAAGAGAATGGTGTTCATTAAAATGTGAACAGTGTCTATTGGGATAGTTTTTATGTATGAAGATGTGTTAGAGTTCACAGAAAAATTTAAATTCAGTCATCAATTTACTCATCCTCGTGATGTTCCAAACCTGTATGATTTGTGAAACACAAAAGTCAATATTTCGATTAATGTTTGTCAATACAATGTCAGTGGGGTCTAAAACAACACTGGATTAAAATTAAATAATTCAGTGAACTATCCCTTTGATGAATACAACTCAAAGGCAATAACTTCTGTAAATTTAACCTATTTCAGGAGTTTCACGAAGAGGATCTCTCTGAAATGCAAGAGGAATCTGAAACACAAAAAGACGAAGAAGTCTTTGATTTGTCAAGAGAGGACTATACCATTATCCATAGAAGCAAAGAGGATTATGAACCCACTGAGAAATCGATGAGGCGACGATTTCACGAGGAGGAGCTAGAACGCCTTGAGCTTCAGAGAAGGGAACAAGAGGAAGAGAGAAAGATGGAAGAACAAGGGAGGAGAATCGAGGAGCAGAGGCTAGAAGAAGAAAAGCGGCGCAGACAGGAAGAGGAAAGGCTGCATAAGGAGGAAGAGGAGAGGAAGCAACGAGAGGAAGAGGCGAGGAAAGAAAGGGAAGAGGAGGAAAGAAGAAGAGCAGAGGAGGAGAGAAGGCAGCAGGAACTTGAGGCGGAGCGTCTTCGTCTGGAAGAGGAAAGAAAAAGGGAGCTGGAGGAGAGAAGGAGAAAAGAGGAGGAAGAGGCAGAACAACGTAGGATTCAAGAGTTAGAGGAGAAACGGCAGAGAGAGGAAGAGCAACGCCTCCATGAGGAGGAAAGGAGCCAACAAGAGGAGGCTGAGAAGAAAAGACTAGAGGAGGAGGAGGAAAGAAAGAGGCAACAGCAAGAGGAGAAAGCTGGGGCTACTGACTCAGAATGGAAAAGAAAAGCAGAGGAACTGAGATGGAGAGAGATGGAGGAGAGACAGAGACCCTTTACTTTCAAGGTCTCCTCAGGCGAGAAGCAGATACTATTCCAGAAGGTCAACCTCACTCCTGTTACTCCATCAACTGGCCAACAGGGTGAAACAACAGCTGAAACCAGGGAGGGAGCCAAAGCTTCTTCACCAGGATGCACAGATTCACCAACTCTGTCTTCATCTCTTTATATCCCACATACTGCAATTCTTGTGACAGGAGCCCAACTTTGTGGAACCGCAGTCAATCTCGATCAGATCAAGGACACGGCCTGCAAGTCCCTTCTTGGCCTTTCGGAAGGCAAAAAGGCCATGGACACTCCTCCAACCAAGAGCAAGACTTCTCCAGATCGTAAATCTGAAAAAAACAAATCCTTATACGAGTCTTCCTTATCTGCAGACCAATCCAATGCTGCTGTCCTGGCAGAATGGGCAAGTATCCGATCCAAAATTTTTAAAGGTGCTGAGGACGGAAAATATCCAGAATACCCAGATCAGAGTCGCAGGCCAATAAGTGAGGATCTAAATACAGTGCCATTCTCTCACACCAACCTCAGGAAAACCATGTCAGCCAGTGCTAAGTTTTCAATCACACCAGCTAGAAAGAAATTTGCTGATTCCAAAAGCAACTCAGAGAGTTTTGGTCAGGAAGACAAAGAAGGTGTGAAAATAGAATCACCATCTACGGAAACTCCCTCTGTCCAAAAATCAGAGTTGCCCTCTTTAGGTATCAAGATCCAGAACAGAGGAAGCAAAGTTGTCCACATTGCAGATAGTGCTGAAGAATGCATGTTTGCCAAAGACCTCCCCTCCTTCCTTGTTCCCAGTCCGCCACATGGATCTCCCAAGTCACAGAGGTCCGAGACTGGATCCCCAAGTCAGGAAGAATCAGAAGACTTGGATGCAAAGGATGAAGGGGATCAGAAAGATCAGAGTGGTGAGTGGCCCTCACCTTTTGGAATCAAGTTGAGAAGAACCAACTACTCTCTTCGCTTTCACAATGAACAATCTGCAGAGAAGAGGAAAAAAAGGTACAGTGCAGGAGACAGTTTTGAAGGTGTCCCAATGCCTCTCACCTCCATTGACCAAGATTCTGATACTTCTACACTCTCTGAAAAGTCTAGCCCTGTTTCTCCGCAACAAGAGATTACCGGATTTCGAACCGCTGCAGCACCCAGTAAAGAATCTCGAAGTAAGTTGAGCAGAAATACTCTCCCTTTGGCACGCACCGAAGGTGACAACTTTGTCCCCAAGCCTCCACCTTACCAAAAACCAGCTACCTCCCCCAAACCATCTGAAGGTGCCACACCTCCACCCTCTCCTCTCCCGAAACCTGGCAGAAGGACTTCGGGGGACATGATTTTACAAAGGACAGGGCAAGCAGAACAGGTAGATACTGAGCAGAGCAGTGATCATAAGGAAGAAGTTGCAGCATCTCTACCATACCAAAAAAATGGACAAGGAGAGGAGGAGCTTAAAGAAAAGAAGTCATTTTTTCCATCCATCAGCATCCCATGGAGAGAAAAAACAGATCGCAGGACAGAACTCATTAAAAAAGGTTGGAAACACTCAAGCGCTGTAGAGCTATAATTGTATCTTCACAATTATTATAATGCTTGCGAAGCATCAATTTATTTATATTCCTTAAACTTCTACCACGTTCAAGGTTCAGAAAGGTAGTAAGGACATTGTAAAAATAGTCCATGTGACATCAGTGGTTCAACCATAATTTTATGAAGCTACAAGAATACTTTTTGTGTGCAGTGAAAACAAAAATAACTTTATTCAACAATTCTTCTCTTCTGTGTCTGTTGACGTGCATTTGTGAGAGTACCATGACCCATGCATGTGGTGCTGCTGACGCAGGAAATCGTTTAATAAAATATAATATAATAGTTATTTTTGTTTTTTAATTTGTTTGAATTTTTTTTTTTTTTTAATTTGTGTTCCGAAGTTGAACGAAGGTCTTTTCATTTTTGGGTGAACTATCCCTTTAATGCTATTCTTGTAGACAGTACAACAGAGGAGTAGAAGACTCTAAAATGTTTTCTAGTCTTGCTTGTCAATTTGACACCTTCTGCATTTCTTCTCCTTCACAGAAAAACCCTCTCTGCAGGCCAGGCACTCTCTGGACAGCTCACGGACACAGGAGAAAGAGACAGGACCACTTTGGATCACTCTGGCACTGCAAAAACAGAAAGGCTTCAGAGAACAGCAGCAAAACCGAGAGGATAAGAGGAGCCAGAGAGAAGCTAAGCTGGCTGAGAAACAGGCTAAGGACAGAGATAGCGTATGTATACATTATCAATATAACCACACAATCTATTATCATTAACAAGCTACACTGTTGGTACTATATGTAAAATTGTAATAACAGTGAGTTTTAACCAGCTGCAATGCAATATAATGCAACAAGCAATAGCAGCTTTCCCTTTTACATAAATTTTACCAGCCACGACAAGTAACATTTTGTTGATCACTTGTTTTCTACTTCTGTGGTGCTGTGCTGGGTAACCTCGTTCTTTAGGAAATCTTGTTTGTCCAAAATCTTGCTCCATATAACTACAATATGGTTTTATTTGTCTCTGAAAGGCTGGAATGGTCAGTCCCACAGAGGATAAGGGCAGTAGAAGTTCCAGCCCTCACAAACCTCAAACAACAGATGAGAATAAGAGACCAGACACATTCCTGGCCCGTTTTGAACGACGCGACAACTTGAAGAAAGCCAATACCTTGCCCAGCTCAGTCACAGGTAAAAAAAAAATAAAAGAATGTATTTGATTAAAGGATTAACTCACTTCCAGAAATATTTTTCCTGATAATTTACTCACCCCCATGGCATCCAAGATGTTCATGTCTTTCTTTCTTCAGTTAAAAAGAAATTGACATTTTTGAGGAAAACATTCCAGGATTTTTCTCCATATAGTTGACTTAAATGGCGGCCAATGGGTTGAAGGTCCAAATTGCAGTTTCAATGCAGCATTAAAAGGCTCTACACGATCCCAACCAAGGAATATGGGTCTTATCAAGAGGAACGATCGGTCATTTTCTAAAAAAAATAAAATTTATACACTTTTTAATCACAAATGCTCATCTTGCACTAGCTCGACCTCAAGCATTATGTAATCACATTGGAAAGTTCACACGTAACGTAGGCAGAAGTACCGACCAAGTGTTTACAAAGCGAACATGCAAAGAGTCAAACGCCCTTTACAAAAAAAGGTAAAACAATGATGTCGGACGATTTTGAAGTTAGAGGAGAAAATGAGATGGATTTTTTTGCACTATGCTACCTTTTTGAACCAAAGTTCACGGACGAAGAACTAACCACACATGACCTTTCCAACGTAATTACGTAATGCGCGAAGTCTCGCATGCACATTGCAGAGCTAGTGCAAAACGAGCATTTGTGGGTAAAAAGTATATACATTTTTATTTTCTTTAAGAAAATGACCGATCGTTTCTCTAGATAAGACCCTTATTCCTCGGCTGGGATCATGTAGAGCCCTTTAAAACTGCACTGAAACTGCAATTTGTTCCTTCAACCCGTTGGCATGCAATTTGAAACTGCAATTCGGACCTTCAACCCATTGGCCACCATTTAAGTCCACTATATGGAGAAAAATCCTAGAATGTTTTCCTCAAAAACGTTAATTTCTTTTTGACTGAAGAAAGAAAGACATGAACATCTTGGATGACAAGGGGGTGAGTCAACCATCAGGAAATTTTTATTCTGGAAGTGAACTAATCCTTTAAATTTCCCTTTAGTAGCTTTATACTAGGGTTGTTTTTGGTAACTTTGTGTCTTATGCTCAGTTGTTATTTAGGCTTTGTTATTTCTTTCATATACATTCCCCTAGCTGAAATGCAACTGACATCAGAGTGGGATTTAGACATGGTTCCCATCATAATGTGGTGCTTTTAAAACTGAGACATCTAACCACTACAAAAGCGTAAAAGAGCCATCTCTCAGTCTTTATAGTGATTTTCTTTCGACAGTTGAAATTACAGACTCTACACCATCTCCCCCAGCAACAAAAGATGTGACAAAGCGCTTCCCTCCTGGTGACACTACCCAGGTTTCTACCGAGCCTGCGTGGCTTGCCCTAGCAAAGCGTAAGGCCAAAGCCTGGAGTGACTGCCCACAGATCATCAAGTGATCCATTGCTGCTGACCAGTGAAAAAGCGAATAAGTCATCTCCTTCATCCACATCACTTAGCCTTCACAGCACCCCAGCTCACCTCTTGCTCTGAACAAAGTCTATAATTTACTTTCTTTCTAGCATTTCAGAATATTTGGTATTTTAGTGATAAAATATTCACTATATTCAATATATATCAGATTCACTAAGGATAAACAATTACATCAACCCACCCGTCCGGTTTCAATATACTGAATTATTGCAACAACATGCATCAAAAGTATATTTACTCATTTGTGTCACAGCCAATTAAACAAGCCCTATAATCTTCAGAGAAGTTGCAGCCCTTCATATCCTTGAAGTCGCCAGTGGTTAACAGCGTAACATACACAATGCATGTCGAACTGTTGATTCTAGATATTACTAAAACAATATGAGTGGTTCACATTAAGTACAAATCTAACATTTCAAGTAAAACAAGAAGGTATGTTATTGCTTTGGTGATAAATCTGGGAAGCAATTCAAGGGCTAATAATAACACAGCTGATGAAACCTTCACAAATTCCACTCCTCGCTCCCACAAGCATGTAAATCAAAGAAATGGCTTTGTAATTTTTATTTTTTTCCATGTATACACTCAAATGAGTTGACACTCATAGACCTTGCCGATGGACAGACGTTGTCACTTTTTGATTTCTTAACTTATTATATTTGATATCTTGGCAAAGTAAAAAGATCTTCACTGTGTCCGTGACAACTGTGAGTACTTTCATTTTAACTATTGCTAAAACTCATCATGATAATGACACGTCAGCACTGTTTACTCATGTAATTAACTAACAATTTTTCCTTCAAGTTTCCATGACATCATAGTATATACTGTATGCACTTGAGCCGTGCTGTCAATTGATGAAAAATCTACTTCTTGCAGTGTCTACACCCGCCTGTTTCTGTAGAATTGGTTGCCTGGGATCCGTCTACTTGCTGTAACATAAACAATGCTATCCTGGCGTAGCGTGTGCTAGCATCTTTTACCGCTAATTAGCAAAACCTGCATCACGGCTAAGTGATGGGAGATCAGTGTTTCAAATGCAACGTCCCAGGGTGGAGGGGAGTAAGAACAAGAGGTCTAGCCAATGGAAATATCCTTTACAAAAAAGGAAGCATTTCTAGTGAGAGAATGAATGGACTATTAACGGGCATCACCTCTACGTCCTTGAAAAAGGCAGCTAACCCCAGATCGCTCCAGGGGGGATTGTCCTTGTAGGTGAAGTTGCTCTGGATAAAAAGGGTCTGCTAAATGATGGTTATTAAACGGAAGCCTTGATCTCTCAGCAGAGCCACTGACTCCACTATCTAATGTAATGTTGTATGTATGTAATGTATGTAAGGTATGTATGTATGTATAGAAGTGAAATGAAGCGGACTGTATTCCTTTGGAGATCTCCTGAACTGCAGTCGCGCCACTTTGTTTTTACATTGGTCGTGTGCAATAGTGTAGCGTAAACAGTGTTGTATGTGATATAAAACAAAAAGTTTGTTGATAATTGCACTTTTTTTTGTTCCACTTTAGAAAAACCCATTACAGAAAAAGTGACGCAAATGTTATGAAATATGTAGAGAAAATTAAAGGAAGCTGTTTGAACTCGGTGGACTGAAATTCCTGTTTGTGCACAAAAACAAACATGAACACATGAATGCTAAAATCTAAATGAACATAAATGCTAAAATATAATACATACTGAATATATCCATGTATTTCTTTAATAGGCGCTTCTGGAAGTCACCCATAAAAATATATTTATCCAGTTGCATATTGTGATTAATCACTGTTTGGCCAGTTCTAGACAGTAAACATAATCATTGCGACATCCCACCACTATCTTATGCCCCCATACGACAGGAGAGGAAAAAAGCTCGCCTGGCAAAGACAAGGTGGCCTTCAGTGTGCCGGTTTCTCCATCTAAAATCCACACCTTTCCATCAGTGGAGCACACAGCCACTAGTGTTCTCAAACCCCATGGATCACCATCAAACACAAAGGGAGATGAGAACACCTTGCCTGTGGTCTGGAACTGCCACAGTAATGATCCGTTATCACCATTTACACAGTATAAATGACCGTCATGTGACCCACATGTGACTGTGTGATTGGATAATGTTAATGTGCTTCTGCTGGGTGTTGTAGAAACCTGCTGATTAGTCCAAAATGTCAAAGAGGAAATGCATGGCGATGAGAAGATTGGTCCTTTAGTGGAGAATTCCCATAACTGCAAAATAATGGAACAAAAATCAAACTTTGGTGCACAAAATGCAATCAAATAACTCAAAATCAATGGAGGCATTCTCATAATCATCTGTAATTAAACTGTAATATTACTGGATTACATCTGAAGAGTAAAGGAATATTGCCATAAGCCTCTTTTTAATTCGCTAAAAATAAGGTTTGAAAAATGAGTGCAATATACATAGGAAAAAAAAGCGTTGTTGTTTATTGCTCTACCTGTGAAGACCACAATTATGAAAAATAAGAATTAAAATCGTGATTAAAGTCATGTATATTTAATTTATCATCTCTTAGAGCAACTTTTCCTTTTTCCTCTCACCGTATCTCCAGTATGGCTTATTCCAATAATTTGTCCATTTACTGAACCAATGAAGACAGTGGAATCAGAGCAGCGAGGGGATGAGAAAAACGGGACACTGCTGGAATATGTCCACAAGAGTTTTCCACTGTCCTGGACAGACAATTAATGGAGAATGACAAGATAAATGTTAGCCTTTAAACATGACCTCTGATCCTACAGTATATGCTCCATTCTTAAGACCTTTCATATCAGAGAAGTTGGCTTATAAGCTTTGAAACTTAAACACTCAATACTAATATTTAATGTTTTTTAAATATATCTTTTTCACTCTTATGAAGATAGACCATTTACTTACTGGATCAAGACAGTGTAGATTCCCTCCCAGAGTACTACAGTATAACTGTCTAGGAGACGAGTGGATGCAAGGGGATGAAAATACTGCACCTCCACCACAATAGTGCTGCCATATACACGTCTTAGCCTGGGAGAAATAGAGACAAATCTGTGAAATGTCAAGGGAATATGCAAGAACATATTTACAAAAAACAGAATACAACTAATTTAATTAGATGTAAACATTTAGATGTAACAACATTGTTAGTGTTAACTAAAACAAACTATTACAAATATTTTTGTTTAATGAAATAAAGTTGAAATGAAATGAAATATAAATATCATACTCAAACTTAAAACTTGTATGAAAATTAGACTAATTGAAATAAAAGTTACTAAACTAAAACTGAAATGAAAAGCTTAACAGAAATATATATTTTTTAATTAATAAAAACAAAAAGGCACATAAAAATTACTTAAAACTCAAATTAAAATGAAAACTGAAAATATACAAATAAAAGCTACATAAAAAATGTGAATAAACACTATAGTAGTATATTAATAATAGTAAAACAAAACTGATTAGCACTACAGAAATATAATTAAACAAAACTGAGTATTTCTCTTGTATATTACCAGTGGGTCTAATGCATAAACAAAGCCATCATAGGACCCTGTGAACATCAGCCCAGTTTTAGGGTCTACAGTAGGGGAACTTTTCACCACATCCCCAGTCTCATACGTCCACACAGTGTCCCCACAGGAAACATCCAGGAAATATATCTGTCTGTCATAGCAGCCTGAGAAAAAGGGTCAAACTCAGGTTATAAATGTGGATGACAAATAAATTGATGAATAAATTGAATCCTGAAATCCTTTAGGTTCTGCTTTTAGTCAAACCCCCCCATAATTCAAGCTAAATCAGTAACAACCTTATTACAACCACGTTAGTTCCCTTAATTAAATTAAGCATTCCTTTTAAAATCAAGTACAAACCAACTGCTACAAGGCTTCCACATTTGGAAATGGCAGCTGAAGACTCCAGTCGATCTCCGAGGATACGCTCCCAGATGACCTCTCCATTGGACAGGTCAAGAGCCTGCAGTCTGTGCGAGTGAGAGCCAATGAACACGGTGGTCCTGTCAGGACCCACCAGCAGCACTGGAGAGGCGTCCACACACCTGCCTGTGTCTGAGCTCCAGAGGACCCGCAGGCCCAGCAGCAGGACATTGGAACGGTCTTCCCCTGAACCTTCACCTGGGCTCTTACTGACAGGTAATGTCTCAGTAACTTCTTGAGGAACATGGGGTTCTGTGATATTTTTAATAGCAGGATTTTCCTGAGCTATATTATGAAGTTCGTGTGAGGGATTAGATATTAAACTGTCTTCAGAAGTACTTGTCACCGTAAGCTTGCTCCTGTTTGTTCCTAGTGCATCTGAGATGTTTTTCTCTTGCATTTTCCAAAAACAACCCCAATCAATAACCTCACCAGCTCGTCTCACAACTACAAATCCCATAGTCCTTCTCACTGAGGGAACTACAAAACCCACTGTGCTTTCTGTAGCATTCACTGTGCTCATTTCCTTCTGTTGTCTTTTGGGTGAAACTAAAGAGCCTGAATCATCCAGCATTCTCTTCTTTGATGGCTGGATTGCATTGTTATGCATTTCTGTCATGACGTGGCTAACCACATCTGAGAAAGAGCCATCTAATATGACCTCCAGCAGGCCCACAGAGGTTGTCCCCATGGCAACAGTGATCTCATCACAGAGACGCAGGGCCTGAAGGGAGTCTCCTCCACTTAACATGAAGTGTGCATTTTCCTCAACCACCACATCATTTGGCAGGCCAAGACATTCCTAATATACACAGACAAACACACAATGGCAGTTTCACTCAGCAGGCAATGGGAAAGATATTATTTAAGATATACCTCCATGTGTCCAACAATAAGAATGGTAACACTTAAGTATAGGGACCAATTCTCACTATTTATTAATTCTTACAAAGCACATATTCTGCATTATCATATTCTACATCCCTAATCTAACCCAATACCTGAACTTCACAACTACCTTACTAAGCAGTAATTAGGAGTTTATTGAGGCAAAAGTCGTAGCTAATAGTTAATTAGTAGCAAGAATTGGACCTTAAAATAAAGTGTGACCATTAGGACTAGTACATTTTGTGCAAAAAGAGTAAATCCTATTTATACCTTCCATAGGGTCTGTAACTTCATTCTCACAGATTCAATGTCTTTCCATACAGTTTGTGTATTTATATCTTGTTTTTGAGTGTCACACATCCTCATCAATTCGTCAATGGCTATTTTACCTAAAAATACATGCAACAGGAATATAAAAATGACTGAAATCTATGACCACAATGAAAACACATTCATAGAAATGCAAAAGCTTAATGAAACAAAAGGAAAATGTCTAATGATAATAATATTTTAGTACATAGTCTATTTTTATTTAGCCTTTTATGTTTTATTGCTTAAAAAGGACACTTGCAATCATATTATACTTGTGAATGAAATGTATATAAAAACATTCATATATAAATTTGTATTTTGTATATAACAATGTATAAATAAAAACAGGATAAATGCATAAATGGTTAGTAGCATAAAAGGTTCATTTAAATTTAAATTATTATATAAATTAATTATATTTTGATTGGTTGACATGAATTAAAATGATTAGCGGTACTTCAAAGGACAATAACTATAACAATGGCGATAAAGACATGGTTTTAAAAATCACTCTAAATTGATAAGAATAGCAGAGTTCACACCACAGCTATAACAGCAATCCCTAATATAATTATCGTTACAGTTATCTTTACAGTTTCCGTTCTAAGTATGGACAGGCCTTCAGAGGATGGTGCTCACTTGCCATGAGAGGTGAGTGGAAGAGCAGGGATGAAGAATATCATGTCTGGGATGCTGTGACTGGCCAAAAGCTGTGATAACCTCTGGCGAATCTCTCCTTCAATAACTCTGAGTGAGGGGGAGGTGGAGTTTCTTGAGACGTTGACAGTGGTGAGGTCTTCAGAGGACTGTGTAGAATGTTGGAAAGGTTTTTGATGAGGAAATTCAGAGGATGAAAGGGTTCCTGGTTGACCCGATGTGAGCACTATAAATGCCAGTAGCCTGTCACCCTCACTCAGGCTCACTGCACACGCCTCCACCTGAGGCAAACTCTCAATGATCTGAGCACATAAGATCATATATGCACCTTTAAATACTCTTAGATTTTATTATAAACACATGCCAAAGTTGTTGCATAACACATTTATCACCTACCTGCTGCAAGGCATCTAGGTGTACCCTCTGACCAAAGCGTTTGATGAGCCGATCCTTCCTGCCCAGGAAATACAAATGGGAATCACGCACCTGCACCCAGTCACCTGTAGCACGCATTGTTCCCTCGACTACAGTTTCTTCATCATCAAGCAGACACACCCTCTCTTGACCACCTAAATAAAAGGACAAAAATTCACTGTACAAACACAAAAACTAGCAAAACAACAACCGAATGTCAAAGTAAGTACACTAACATTCACAAGTTTGGGGTCAGTGGGATTTTTAAAAATAAATTATTACTTTTATAGACCAAGGATGCAATAAAATGACAATAAAGACGTTTATAATGCTACAAACAAAATGCATTTAAATAAAATCATGTTCTTTTGAACTTTCTACTCATCATAGAATCCAGAAACAAATTTATCACAAAAATATGAAGCAGCACAACTGTTTTCAACATTGATGATAATAAGAAACGTTTCTTAAGCAGCAAATCAGCTTATTAGAATGATTTCTGAAGGTTCATGTGACACTGAAGACTGGAGTAATAATGCTGAAAACTCAGCTTTAACATCACGGGAATCAATTATATTTTAAAATATATTAAAATTGAAAACAGTTATTAAAAGCTGTAAAATATATTTCATGATTTTACTGTTTTGACAGTTGTACCATACCAATGAACAGCTGTCCTTCTCCTTCAGTGACGAGACGTCCTGTCTCATCTCTCACCTCCATTACGGTATCCAACATCGGCTCTCCAAGGGGCACAAATTGATCAGTTCTTTAAAATAATACATATGATACATAAACAAACAATGCATTACAAGAAATGGGTCAATAATAATACTAATTTAGCATGATTTTTTATGTCAATTCAAAATAAAGCAGTGGACTTTGAGAAAACATTCTCTATAGACTGTTAATATGACTGTTTTTGTAGCTGATGCATCTTTACTAGAGTGTTATTTTAGTATTATTTACATACTATTCGAGTTTTTAATAAATATTTTGAATTAGCTTTTATATTTTCAGTTTTATTATTTTATGATGTGCTTGTCATTTTATTAGTTTCTGTATGTCACTCACATGCCCTCCAAGCACAGGTGTTTGTCTGGGACTTTGTAACAGCTTGCCCAGCAAGAAACTTCTGTGGTACCGTAAAGATTACAGATGTGTGTGCCATTGCCTTCCTGTCTCCAGCTCTTGAGAAGACCTGGAGATGGACATGGCTCCCCTCCAAAAGCCAATAACCTCAGGGGTGAATAAGCACTAAGCACCTCCTCCTGAAGGATACGCCTTCCAAAGCGCCTCACAAGAGTGGGAGTGGCCTGGAAAATAATTAAAAGTCAATTATAATATTTTAGTATAGAACAGTACTATATGTTGTGTATGTCATCTCGCACTTTACTGACACCTAGTGGTGTGGAGGAAGCATGGCATAAACGGTTTCAGCTATAAATGCTAATGTCAGAAAAATGCTATTCATGGTCAGCCATGATTAACCACACTGCCCACTGTCCAATGATGACACATGGACTATTTTAACAATGTCCTTACTACGTTTCTGGGCCTTGAATGTGGTAGTTCCCTTGCTGTCTAATGCATGGTCAGAAAGCTCTCGGATTTCATCAAAAACATCTTAATTTGTGCTCCGAAGATTAACGAAGGTCTTACGAGTTTAAAACATCATAAGGGTGAGTAATTAATGACAGAATTTTCATTATTGGGTGAACTATCCCTTTAAGGACTGGAGTGTGAAATGAAATTCTGAGTGATGCAAAACATGTTACAGTAAAATATTGAAAACAAATTGTTGGTGCATGTAGATAAATGAACAAATGCCAAAGAACACACTCATTATCTCTGTAATCTGCATAATGCAGAAATTTCAGCTCACTACACCCACTACCAATGTTGATTACAGCACCATCATCATCTCCTCACAGCGTGTACACATTCATGACAAAGATAAATAGACAGATGAAGTGATTTGATTTTTAAAATCTCTAATTATAGGCTGTCACAAAAAGGAGTCTGTCCCACGACTGATGGTTTGGTGAGGAATAAAGTTACTTGCCTGTAAGACTGTCGTTTTGTTTCGTTTAAACAGCACATTTGCAAGTCTGCGTGGCATCTTTTTAACAGCTGAGGGGACAATTAGGAGACACGCTCCCGAGGACAGGGCCAAAAACACCTCCACCACAGAGGGGTCAAAAGTTAATGGAGAGGACAGTAATACAACATCTTCTGCAGTCATCTTAAAGACAGATCTGTTGATAAAATATTTTTTTTTTAATTATTTCTTTATTTTTATGAATTCTATCCTCCAATTTCAACACAATATTTTTGCTATAGCTGTCAGGTAAATAAGTGAACGCATTAAGACCACATTGTCATACATTCACGTAAAAATAAATTACATAATAAATGCACATTTGAACTAAAAGTTTAATGTGTTCTTACCTTAAATGTGTAATATTAGGCACAATACACCTGTGTGGGACCTTCACTATTTTTGGAAGCCCTGTTGTTCCGGATGTGTGCAAAACATAAGCCAAAGGCTCCCTCTGTTGGATGTCTTTGGTCATAACAGAGCTGGAACGCTGATCGGACATTTGAATGTTTGCGTCCTGTTCACTTTGTATTTTTATCAAAGTGAGCCTATGTGAAGACAATGTTGCACATATTTCCAGGGATAGCAGGTTGGAAAATGCACTCTGGAATTGCTGTTGGTTATGAAACAACAATATTAGTAATAATATATAATGACTAGTATAATATAATATAATATACCTACATTAAGCAGTTCGTTTTGTAATAAACAGTAGTTCAGCCTGCACTTGTTTATCATTCTCAGGTTGCACAAAGGTGGTGATGCAGGATCAAGAGGTACATATGCAGCAGGAAACTGCAGAATACTGTTCAGAGAAGAAAACATTTTAATGATATGCACTAAACTACAAGACATTTGTTTAGTGTAATAATTAGATGCTAGAATAACCCGGTAGTCATGCAACACACACTGCATAACTAATCGTACCCAACAATCCAGGCAGGAAGGAGGACATCTGCACGACAGAATAACCCTATGGTACCATCATGTTTCTGGACAGAGATGCGCAAGTGTCCAGTTAATTCATTTGCGAGGGAAATAACTTCATCGTATGTCAAACAGACGCGCGCTGCAATGCTGCTGTCGAACGCGACAGCTGTTTTATTACCATGAGCACGCGCTGCATCGTGCACCAATTCATGAAGCAATTTTGCTGTCATATCTGAGCGAAAATTATATTAAATCATAATCTGAGAAATTGCAACGTAAATTTTCTATCTATTCCCATCCGTTTAGGAGCGCCTGTTTTGCAAACTAGCCATAACCAATTACGAACGAATTTGAGTCGAATGCTTTTTGAACCGGTTCACAAAGGTTTGAACGACTCGTTCACGAATCAGACTGAATCGCGTCATTTGTTCTGTCCGAGCGGTTCTCATTAATGTAAACATCGATTTTTTTTTTCAGACAACAGATGTACATTTTTTGTATTGTTTGATGTAAAAGCAAAGTACATTTAAGTTCCAAATTACTTTATGTGCTGAATCATGGCTGCAACAAGTATCTAGGGCACATGATATTACAATATACAACTTTTTTTAATAAAACGTAATCGCAAAACAGAAATAAACAGTCATTTGTGCCTATAAAATTGCAGAGAACCACATGGACAAAGAATCTCTTTTGTGCCTGCTTTTTGAACGAACTGTTCAAAAGAACCGATTCGTGGAAATGACTCGTACACCCCATTTGACAAATTCGCGCTTTAAGATGACGTTTCGTGGTGCTTGAAAGAACGTCCAATCACAGTTCGATTTTTTTACTCGCGGAAAAATTTGAAAGTCCAGGCGAGCCGCTGGCTAAATGCAAAATCTCAATTTATGTTGGTCAGATAAATTGGTTTGCAATCGATTTTGTTAATGCAACATGTCTGCAAAACCTTTATATGCAGATCAATTCAAGAGAAATGACGATGTGTTCAGAAACACGATGGAAGCTATTTTTCAGAAGGTACGCAACGTTAGAGTTACAGCAAACGTACGAACGTTTTAGATGAAGTCCATGTATTGGTGCATGTCTTACCGAATGTTATGTTTCTAAAAAAAAACTAGCGAATCCATGTAGTAACGTGTAGCTTTAACAGAGCATGTTTATTGCGTCCTTTATAGTATTCTAGTCTGAATGATCCTGGGATAGATGTCTGTCTGAAAACAATGACCTGCAGGACTGGTAGAGGTAAGCCAAAATATAGAAATTAAAAACTGACATCTAAGCATTTCTACTCGCTGCTGTGGGTTAGGTTAAAAAAATAAATGTTGTGTTGTTTTCACCTATACATTCAGATTTGTTTCTGAGTTTGTGTATTATGTGACTACAGGTCCTGTGCCCATTGACAGTGCAGAGGGAGAACGTGAGTTGGAAACATTAAAGGTGAGAGACATTGTTGTAAATATAACCTAGAAAACGCATATCTAGAAGAATGTTTTCTGAAATATTTAGATTTTGTTTATTTAAAGGGGTCATATGATGTTGCTAAAAAGAACATTATTTTGTGTATTTGGTGTAATGAAACGTGTTTATACGGTTTAAAGTAAAAAAAAAAAACATTATTTTCCACATACTGTACATTATTGTTTCTCCTCTATGCCCCGCCTTTCTGAAACACGTCGATTTTCACAAAGCTCATTGTTGTGAAAAGCGAGGTGTGCTCTGATTGGCCAGCTATCCAGTGTGTTGTGATTGGCCGAATACCTCAGGTGTGTGACGGAAATGTTACGCCCCTACCATACTGTGGTACGCCCATACGCCCCAACCACATGTGACGACCCCGGGCTGGACTCCGCTTCGTCCACGGTGAAAGCCGATCCGGCGATCCACAGCGCGAAGTTGATGTATTTCCTCAGCGAGCAGCACGGATCAGTTCCAGGCATGACGAAGCAGATATCGTCCTCTTTTGGAAGGCCAAACAAAGTAGTTTCGCTTTCACAACGAAACACACAGCGCCTTCACGACATGGCGGCAGCGGCAACAACAATACTACAGCGAGAATAAATGGACATAATAAATTCCTGCTGTAAATAAGATGTTGGTGTTCTTCAGTAGTATGTAATAATGAAAGTATGAGTAATACACAAGTTTACATTAGCTTTGACCTAAAATGTGAGCGTTTTTTTGTTAGCCCATATGTGTGTAAGTTTGCACAATGGTTGTACTGGGATATTACATTTATTTTCTTATATGCAGAGTCAGACTCGAGTTAAATCAGACTATTCAATGAGGGGTAAGGAACATAATTTTGTTATTTTGGGTAATTGATATCAGTTGTTTTGAGTATAATACCATGTCCACATTTCTCATGCTTAATCTTTTTGTCTTGTATTTTATAGAGTTTGAGGACCAGGAGAATGATCAGGTAGTAAAAAGAAAATAATAGATTGTAAAAAAGAACAAAAATATATATTTTTTAACTTCTATTTTGTTTTTCCCACCAGTTTCAGATGGATGTGTCAGGGGTCACTGAGGATGATCTTAATAGCTCAGGTCAAAAGGAAAACAGGGAAAATCTGTGTAAGCAATATTTATATAAATGTAAAACAAAGTAACCCTGCACTTTAGCACAAAATAAACATTTCAGTTAGTATTTCTGTGTTGTTTACAGTAAAATATTTATGAACTACACACTGTATGCTCTTATGTTCATTTATGAGCTGACATTCGTTTTGGAGCCAAGTCATGTCTCAATGATAATCTTCTAGGGCACGGAGGTGAATCATTCCCACTCTCTATGATTCTGAATAACACATCTCCTGAATCTCTGTGGGGTGAGCTATCTCCACCTGAAGAAGAGGATGAAGAACTGGAGAAAACACTGAGCAGCCATGGCAGTACCCTCCTGGATGTCTATCCCAGCATGCTCAACCAGATCGGCGAAGCGTACCGGCGACAGCACATGACTGATTCGGCGAGGGCCGTGGTGCAGAAGTACCGCCGCAAACATTGGCAAACCGGCCCGACGCATCGCAACACATCCTTTAAGAACAGACACAACTGCACTCTCAACAAAACAACAGAGATCTCATTTTCCAGTCAAAGTCCAGTTCGAAGAAACATTAGCAGCTCTTTCAAGAGCAGCGACAAACTTCAACATTTGCTGAAGAACAAACCAAGGTCTTCGCCACTCAAAAATTCACCCTGCGAGGCCAGTGCCTGTTTTTACTCACCCAGGAGGAACAGCACAGACGTGACCAGTGTGAAGGATGAGTGTCCATGGACTGATTTGCATTTAACCAGTAAACCTGCTCGTGTGATTGATTTGTCCACGCCTCCACATTCAGGTTCCCCCTCATTTAGTGACCAATCTCCAGATCTGGACCAAACCTATGATGTTGGACCAACATCCCATGCTGTTCCAGCCTCATCGGTCCTTAGTTCTCCACGACAAAGCAAAGCCGATCTGTCTCTAATTGACCAGAGAGGAATATCAGTCACCTCCCGACCTTCCTCATTGGACAAAGACTGTTTCAGGGACCGCATACATTCTCTTGTCCCCTCCCCACAGCGCGGTCTCATTGGTGTTTTGTCTCCTAGTCGGAAAAGTAGCTTCAGACCTAGTGTGCTGAACATAGAAAGGCAATTAAATGCAACAGCAAGTCCAAAGCGAAGGTCTCCTGTCCACCATCTATCCCATTCTGAGGTCCTCAGATCTCCTTATGGTGTCAAACAGGTGCCGTTGTCATCACCCTGGCGGTCTGTTTATGTCCACCCTGACCAAAGCTTATCGAAGGTGGAGAAACCATTGCGTTTTACTCCATCCAACCGTCAACGCTCTCTTTCTGGCCCGCAGTCCACTTACTCATTCAGCGAACCGCAGATTGATGCCGAGTTCAGAAAGCTGTATCACCACTTCATCTGTCGTGGCACATCATCACCGTGTCCTTCCTCCCAGTGTCACCTGTGTGAGAGACACATGAAGGAGACATCCCGAAGCCCCAGCTTTTCCTCCTCCAGCATGTCTGCTCTCGCTCTGACACCCCTGAGGGCTAAGCTCAAGAAACGCCGCCGTCAACCTGAAGTGGAAGAGTCACTCCGATTCAAACGCTTCCGAGAGAGTCGTTCTCCACTTAAACATCTACAGTTGAGAGACCAATATATGAGCCCTGGCATATCAGAACCTACTGAAGACAAACACACCTGGGATAGAGCCGTCCTGCTGCAGTGCCCCAGTCCACGGTTCCTCAGGGGCACCGGAAACCTCAGGAGAATCAGGGAGGCTAAATTAAGCATGCAAATGAACCCACGTGCTTTGTCTTGGGTAAGAGCATTATTGATTTCAAATTTCCATTTAAGTTTTTGATCTAATATTTATTTCGTTTTAAAGGTATTTCAGTTAACAAAAATGATTTTTAATAGTTTAACAAAAACTTTATTTATGCAGTAAAACAATGGTTTCTCCACTTGCTTTGCAGAGAGATGCCCCAAGCGGAGTCCATCTAGTGGAGGGTTTGTAGTCACATTTTAATTTCTTAAAAATACTTGCTCTGCATCATCATGGCCTCTGTGTCTTGCTTACAGATATTACAAAATGTTAACTTACCAATATTTTATTTCAACAGCTGTGTCACCCATGAGACTGTTTAATCAGGGTACCTCTCCACTCTCTCCTAGGTAATTTGAGCACAAAATGCTATCAGTTAAGTTCTTACAGAACTAGTTCATATGACTTTTTCTAGGGATGTACCACCAATATAAAAATTCTGTCTAATTAAGTTGAGATTAAAATGTTATTTACACCTATTTTGTGTAAATAAAACTAAATTTAACCAAAATGTATAACTTTAAAAGCTATAAATAGTGAATTTGGGCATTACAACATATGTACAATAAAAAAAAGACATCTAACAGTGTTATCAAATTATTGTTTTAAAGGAACTTTTAGAGTAAAAATGGGCAAAATAAGCATACGTAAGCTTAAGTACATCGTAGACCCATTGAAACCAATGGCGCTACGATCAACTTAGGCTTACGATGCTTTTGGGAAACAGCCCTGGCCAATAACCAACATGGTAATATGTTGTGCATTCCTAAATTTTCTTAGTTTTTCCTGAAATATGGAGGTTTTTGTGCTTTATTTGAGAATGATCAGATATTCTCTGAGTCTCTAACTGAGTCTGTTTTCTTCAGTGTCTCCAGGAGGCGACTGCAGTACAGTTTTCTGCAATGATGAGCTTTCCTGTACACATCCCACAGCCTGCCTGTTAACCCTTGTGGGATAAACAATATATGTTGTGACTATATAAAGTTTACCCAAGTGAAAAAACATGGGATGACATCAATGTGTAGACACCTAGCTTAAAAATTAGTCCTGTTTTCTTTTTTGAAATATATATGTACCTGTAAATGCAGCTGTTTGTTACATTGTTTTTGTGTAAATATATTTCCATCACTTTCTCGTGTTTTAATATGATCAATTTTAATAGAACCCAGTGTTATTTTTAAACAAGTGTCTAAGTACATGTGCATTGGTGAATGATATGTTTGTCTGTAAATAATTCAAATGTTTTGTTTAAACAAATTTTTTAATAAACAACTGCATTTCACATACAGTTTCATTTAGTGTGTTCTTGAGGACTAACAGAAAAGCAAGACAATCTGTTTCTTTAAGAACAGCTGCTAATGCTCACATTAAGTAAGAAAAAAGTTGAGAAGCTTACATGGGTACTGAAACAGATCTAATAAAATAGTTTTGATATTTACAAGATAGTGTTTTTACTAGACAAGAATCTTAACCAAACTAGCGGTTTGAAATCTGACAGCAACAGGAATGCTTTTAATGCAGCTCTTAAAAGGAATGTTTGAAAATTGAAAAATGCATGGAATGTTTTATTTTGTTTAATTCTAACAGTATATAGCCTGCCTTATGACATTTACAACTGCAACAAATGTTAAAGCAGCACCACAGTTTTAATTCCGGTTTTAGTCATTTTATCAAATGATTTCAAAAGAAACAAACAGAAAAAAAAACTATTCTATACAGAAATGAATATACATTTATGTGGGCCGAAATTCACCACTCCAGCTCCACTGGGTATTTTCCTGTGAGACAGGCTGTGCAATGACCAAATCTAGTAGTCTTAGTGCTGATCCTCTCATCTTTCCCATGTGACTCTATCCCACCTTGAACAGCAGATACCAGACCTTCAACTGACAGATAACGGACACTTGTAGCACCTGTTAAAAGCAAAGAAAATATAATTATCAATTAAATTTTTCTGTTTTCAGATGGGAAGTGTTTTTATACTTTTCATAATTTGTGTATTCATTACAAAACCTTAGCGATTAAGCAAATCTCTGCTCCTGACTTACCAATGTAACCCGCTATATCCTCAAACTCTGGTTTATTAGCAATTAGCTCCTCTTTGGTAGGAATGTTAATGCCCATGTAGCATGGGAACCGGATTGGAGGTGATGCAACTCGAATGTGGACCTGTGATGTGTCATGTGGCATCACAAAGACACTGCTGGTTAAAACAGATCAAAGCAGTAAACATACAGTACTGATTCAAATATATTTTTTTACCTCTGTTGCACCTGCTTCCTTCAGCAGTTTAATAATAGGGGAGATGGTGTTGCCCCTCACAATGGAATCATCGATAAGCACCACTCGTTTGCCAGCAAAGTTATCAGTCAACGCCCCAAACTTCTTGGCAACTCCAAGCTGACGTAGGCGAGTGTTTGGTTGAATGAACGTTCTGCCCACGTAGCGGTTCTTACACAGCACCTCTACATATGGAAGGCCAGACTGAGAAAGAGACAGAATGTAAAATTTTGTAAGGGCACAACATGAACCAATAAGGCATTAAGACTGATGTGTACAGCATGATTATTACTCACTAGTTGTGCGTATCCTAATGCTGCAGGTGTGGCTGATTCTGGAACAGTGCTCACTACATCAGCATCAGTGGGAGCCTCAATGGCCAACTGCCGTCCACAGCGCTGCCTCACTGTATATACCATCTGACCTGTAAGACAGAAAAAACCCCACTTATTTCACCTATTACTATATGTCATGATTTCAATATTTACTACCGTTAAACATTTTTGTGGTCAGTAAGATTTTGTTTTTGAAAACTGTTTTTAATAACTTTTAACATTTTATTTTAAAATAAAATGTATTTCTGTGATGGCAAAGCTGAATTTTCAGCAGCCATTACTCCAGTGTCACATGATTCTTCAGAAATCATTCTAATATGCTGATTTGCTGCTCATGAAATACTGTATTTATTATTGTTACCAATGCTGAGAATGGTTGTGCTGCTTAATATTTTAATGGAAACCAGGATATGTTTTTTTAATCAAGATTCTTTGATAAACAGTTTATAAGTACAGTAGTTGTTTGAAATAGAATTCACTGCTGGCAAGATGCGTTTTCAATAAAAAATTGTCTAGTGTTTTTTTTTTTAAAGGGGACTAGAGAAAACAGAGCAAAAGGCCTGCCGTGTTCCCTTTTGCTAAAAAGTAGTGGTGCCACGATAAATCGATTCGTGGATCGATTCTTCGATTTTCTGAATGCATCGCGATTCTCTCTTGAATCGATTCTGAGCTTAGTTTTTAACAGCAGATGGCACTGCGTGCTTTAGAAACTGCCGTACTCTGATTGCTTCCAGTTCCTTACACACACACACCACTTAAACTTAAAATTATCATTCATTAAGTTCGAAAAGGTTAAAGCGAATTACCAGAGTGTTCTCAGTGGCCTGTGTTTACATTAATCTCATGTCATAAAAGCCGAGGTGCAAGTACATTTAACCACTTAAATTACTCAGTTGAACACACAACTGCTCTTATTCGTGAGCGTTTAAGTGTGCAGTTTAAAACTAGGCAAGAGCACCATCAGCTGATAAAAACTAAGCTCAGAATCGATTCCAAAGAGAATCACGATGCATTCAGAAAATTGCAGAATCGATCCACGAGTATAGAAACGTCAACACCCATAGTGCACAGTGTTAGATCTAAATATCTGTGAGCTGGGATACAAAAATGTGGAAGCATCATACGATGGACATTTACTGAAAAATAAACCAGGAGATCTGAGTGCAGAAAACACGAAGAAAGTGTACAGCTGGTTCATTTATATATACCATCGACATCTGTAACAATACAAGGTGGTTGAAAGTCTTACTGACCCCAATCATTTGGTTTAACCCAAACATTACTGTTATATCGCAATATTTCCTTTCACTCAAAACATAAGAATGATTTTAAACATTATGAACTTGCCTTCAAATATGGAGTCTGGCCTGGCAAAGTAAACATACTCAAATATGCAGAAGGCAGGAGGGTCTCCCTCTGGGCGTGGGACAACAATTAGGCTCTTCACTCCGTTTTTAGAGATCTGGACGATCTCTCCAGGCTGTACTTCACGATAATACCTGACAACAGAAAAATAAAACATACACCATAAACAAACTAATAAAATAAGCAACAGCTACTGTGTGCAGGCTTAGGGATGGAAACTCCTTTAAAGAAGTATATGTAGATAGCCAAAAATATTAATCCAAGCATTTCTGTTGGAATGATGTGAACATACTTTGCACCAATGGACTGGAAGCTGCAGGACTCAGAAGAGACCACCCAGCCTTCTGTGTCTGCTTCTCCAGCACCTACAGAATGAAAAAAAATAAAAAAAAGAGTTTAGCACCATCCTAGACCTAAGGTACATCACAGACAGGCCACATGCACCCCCTGCAGCTCTTCCCCTCACTGCTGAATCACACACCTGAGTTGTGTAGTTTGGAGATGGGTACTAGACGTCCAATAGATAGAGGCCTGTTTCCATAGGGGTCTCTCACAGCATAGATTACATCTTTATACATAACTAGCAATGAGTATGATGTAGGCGTCTCTGTCATCAGATTCTTTACGCTAAGAAAAACAAACAATAAAAATACATAAAAATTAAGACTGCAGAAGCGGACTTCATTTTGCAATCATTAATACTGACAGGGTTTAACAAGTGGTGACCCAATCAGATGGGGAAGGACATGCAGAACATACCGAGCCACCCAATCAGGAGTATCTAGCTCCTCCATGGGTGGAGTCAAAGCAAGGAGCTGGGTAATAAGCTCACTGTCTGAGCTGGTGGAGAGGCCAACGCCATGGCGCATAACCTACAACACACAAATACTTTATATCAAATTTAAAAAAAAACTCCTCTCTTCTCCTGAAACTCTATGTCGAGTCTCATGTAATCCCTATGAATCAAATCCCACCTTTTTGCGCAGTGCGGAGGCATTGACCAGTTCTCCATTGTGTGCCACTGCAATCTTGCCATGCAGCGTGTCTACCACAAAAGGCTGGCAGTTCTGCAGCTCTGAAATGCCCGTGGTGGAGTAACGCGTGTGTCCGATGCCTAGGTTGCCATTGCGCAGCTTCAGCAAATCCTCTGCTTTAAAAGCTGTATTCACTAAACCCATGCCCTGTGAGAAGCAATTATGTCAGGCATGTCTAATCTTGCATTCATTGCTGTATGTTGAAATGTGTTGGCCCATGGGAAAGGAACAAATCATGTTTTAAGTGAGAGGAAGATGCTGTACGCATCGAAATGCTGTGTTATTCCTAGTACATTACCTTCAGGGTGGTGTATGTCGGTGGGCTTGTTCCAGTACTCGTGACAATTCCAGCACTCTCCTGACCCCTATTGAACAAAGAGTACTGTAAAAGAGGTTTTTTTTTCACATTAATAATCTACAATAAATTATGCAGATTTAGCAATTTTCTTAAACTTACAAAGACGTACCAATCAAAAATGTGGTGTCAACTGATTTTTTAAATTAAATTTTATTCAGTAAGGACACATTAAATGATAAAAAAATACAGTAAAGACATTTATAATGACACAAAATATATATATATATAAATTTAATTTTAAAAATCAATTGACACCACATTTTTGATATATATATATATATTTTTTTTTAAATGCTGGTATTTGTCTCTTCATTAAAGAATCCTGAAATTATGTTCACAAAAATATTTTTAACAATAAGAAGAAATGTTTTTTGAGCAGCAAATCAACATATTAGAATGATTTCTGAAGGATCATGTGACACTGATAACTGCTGAAAATTCAGCTTTGCCATCACAGGAATAAATTACATTAAAAATAATTTGTTTTTTAATAAAAAAGTAATATATATATCCCAAAACTTTTGAAAGGTAATATATACTGACACCTAGAGATGTGGAGGAGGCATCACACAAAGTTTTTTTTAATCACTGATAACAATATACGAATGATCTACTATAGAATGATCTGTCCTAACTACACGCGACGCGACAGCGCGAAGTGACAAAATCACAGCCATTCAGAAGCGCACTGCACTCCCAACGAAATGGACAAGTTTATAATCTAATTCATAAATATAAAACCTTTTTAACATTAATAAAACTACATACTGACTGATAGTTCACAGTATTAAC